ATTATCATTATTATTACATATTTTGTTTTAATTAACGGAAATACTCTATTATCATTATTATTACATATTTTGTTTTATTTCATCCGAGGTCCGAAAAAATAGGTAAATAACGATGATATTTCCGATTTAATATAAGCACCTGTCCGTTTCCGATTGTTCTGTTCGAATTTCCCTGATTGACGTAAGTCATATGATGAAATCAAAAAATAAATCAATGATAAAAGATACATTAGACATAATTTGTTTGCGAAAATACAAATATGCAGTTCAATATTTATTCAAAAAATGAGTTTTACATTACTAACAAAAATGTTACGAATTTTATTAAAATGTCGCTGTGGTAATAATCAAAATATTGCACCGTTGATATTAACCTTTACGACATTACACCCAATATATACGATTGGCAAATTACGGATTACAACAAAAAATTACAACTTTAAAGTAAAAGTTGCAACCTTGTGTTTTCTTTTGCCCTCTTAAAATTCTCAGGAAATAAGCGCAACCTATTTCTAAGATTAGGCAGATTATCGTTATTATTGATAATCAAATAGAAAAGTTAAAAGGAATTTTTGTAAATAAGGTTATGTAGTACTGTATGATACATGTATACACACAGTCAAAGATGGATACATATACTATAACTGTATTTTAACAAATTGAAATTGCATCACATGTACAGAGGGTGACGATCGTAAAAAGTTTTAGCATGTGGCGGTATGGCAACGTAATAACAACATTAAAATTGTCTGCTAACAAAAGATGTTCGTTTTAAATCCAATAAATCTCGAAAATTCAAATTGTGGGTACAAATGGGTTGCAACAAAGATCTTACTAACGGAGAATGCCGCACTGTCGAAATACTCGAGAAACGCGTCCTTGAACTAGTGTCAAAACTCTATTAAATGAATCAATTGACCCAAAATTGTGGTTATTTGAAAAGAAAGAACAGTGGCCGAAAATTAAGTGTTCTGAACGTTTAATTCTTCGAAAATTGAAGAAAATCCAATGATGAGGAGAACGCCAAAACGCCTGCTTGCTACTAAAATATCATCTAATAACATATCTCCACGAACCTTGATAAGAACTCTAAAGAAAATCCCATATTGCACGTAAAAAACCATGGATTAATCGAATCAAACGGTTAAACTGGGCTAAAATTCATAAAAATTGGAGCAAAAAAGGTTGACGACGCGTTCTTTGGACTGATGAATCATCTGTCGGCACCGATTCATATGGAAAAGTTCGTGTTTGGTGTCATAAATATGAGCTTTATGATCCAAATTGCACACAAGCAACGTTAAAAGTGGTCGAAAATCTATTATGGTCTGGGGATGTGTAAGTGGACTCAATTTAAGTCATTTAGTTCCCAGCCCACCACGTATGAATGATGAAAAGTATGGGAACATTATATCAGATGTAATTTACCCAATGGTTATGATTGCAGAAGAGGCAATATTTCAAGAGGAGAATGCACCAATTCACAAGAGCAAACCTGTAAAAGAACTTAAAGATGATCTTGGAATTGTGACAATAGAGTGACCACCACAATCACCAGACCTGAGTCCAATTGAAAATGTGTGGAGAGAAATGTTAGTTTCATAAGAACCGAGACCCACAGACAGAAGCTGACTTGGAGGAAGCCGTATTTTCCGCATGGAATACTATTACATTTGAGAAAATTCTTCACTTTATAGACTCGGTACCGGAACGTATTAATGAAGGAATAGAAAAAAAATGGACATGCAACTCTACGTAGTAATAAAATAGAATATACATGTATTTCTTGACTGTAACGATTGTCGTCAACCCGATCACCGAGCAACATTCCATATCGATATCAATCGTCAGATGCTTGTTAATACAGTAAAACTTCTCTAAATGCATCCCCTGAGTTCGGGCATTTAGAGTGGGTTCCATTTAGAAAATTCACAAAAAATAATGCAATACATGTAAGTGGTTAATTCATTCATTAATTTCTTTATTTATATTCATTAGGAAAACGGATAGATTAAAAAATTTTTCCCTCAAATACATATAGCCTGACAAAAAGGCGGCACACTCGCATATTAAGAAGGAATAATAGTGCACGGCATATGACATATAAGAATGGTGTCAGAATTATTTGTGTCATAGAAATAAGATAAGAATTTATTTGTTTCATAGAAATATAAGAATTTCTATGGCGTCATATTAAAGTCAAATATGTGTAAATCCTAAACTCCGAGGTTGTGACCGAGTCAAAAGTACACTTAGGGTGTGTGTGCATTATAGAGGTGCATTTACTATATTTGCATATGGTGAAGTCTCAGATACTCTCAGAGTTCTACCTACAACAAGACTGCGCACTAATTGCAACCAGAGACACTTGTCTTCTTGAAGATTGTTCATAAAAAAATGCTTCCGTACTGCGCATAATCTTAAAAAATCACGATTTTGTTAGAAATCTAAATAAAAACCTGGTAAGCGGAAATTTAGTGTAGCATAATCCTAGAACTTCTCATACACTATAAAAACGATATTTGAGATTGTTTCCGCTAAATTTTCTACATGGGCTCGCATTTATTCTTAGTTAGCACGAAATCAAATAATCTTAAATTATTTAATGAATAATATTTGGCAATACGTATGAAGTAATATTTTCATAATGCTATTACGCTGAAATTATATTGGTTGAGTCATTAATACCTGTAATATGAGTTTTGATTAGTCAAATTGATGGAACCATCGCTAGATTTGTTATGGATTCTGACAAAGTCAAAGCCAATTTCATACATTGAGTAATAATTCTTCATGATTAGAAATTAAATCAGATAAAATTGTTAACAATAATTTAATTACTAAGTATAGTCTGATGCAAAAAGATTTATATCTCAGATAACCATCAATAAATTATTTTTTTTAAAAATAAAATTTCAATTCTGTCTCACTTAATTAAGTTATTAGATATTAGAATTTATTATATATATATAAGTTATTAGATATTAGAATTTATTATATATATATATTTAATTATATATATTTCATAAAAAAATTTTTACAAGTAATAACTTTTTTGAATTCTTATTTCATAAATTTTACTATATACAGTTTTATTAAAATTAATATAAAACATATATAGCAAATAATTTAATTGTTAAACTTTGTAACTTAATTTTATATAGCAATATGCTTGCATAATTTAAAGTTTTAATATTGCAAATTGATAAAAATAATGCTTAAAATATATTTTTTAAAATAAAATAATATTTTATTTTATTTTTTAAAAAAGTATTGCTTCATTTATTATTAAATAAAAGTACAAATAATAATAAAATAATATAGTTTTTTAGATTATTTTTATTTAATGAAAAAAATTATAAATTAGTTAAATTCTGAATAACTTTTATTAAAAGCAATTATTAACTTTTATTTTAAAATACAAATTTTTTGTACTGGATTTATTTTAATTTAAATTTAAAAATTACTATTATAATTTTAAAATTTAATTAAAAGGATAATTATATATAAATTTATAATATTATATAATAATTAATATAATAATTAATATAATAATACAAAATTATTTTATTTAATATATAGTAATTAACAAAATTATAGAATTGGATATATAATTTTATTAATAAAATATAGTAAAAATTAAAATTCTAATTTTATATAAAAGTTTTTAATTTTATTAATAATATTTTTTATTTTATATTAAAACAAAGATTATAAGTTATATTTTAACATATATTTTTTCTGGATTTTTATATTTTTTAATTAAGTTATTCTGTAACAAATTTCATATACCCTTGTAATTTCTTATATCATGTCTATCCTTTTTCGTGTTATGTTTATCATTTTCTTGCATAACATGTAGAATTTAACACAGATCTACATTTAATACTTCTTAATGTTTCGCTAATTAGATTAGATGTGAAATGTAGATCATATTATTAATTTGGATACACATTGTTTTTAATTACTTTTATTTTTATTCGTTCTTTTTCTTTTTCTTTTATTATTTTTAATT